ACTAGATAAAGACAATCTCAACAGTTCCTCCCACCTGAGCACCAGCAGATGCACACTGGACAGCTCTTGCCGTCCACATCAGATCAGGTAACTGAGTCCCTCACTTCTACACAGTACCTAGCTACATTTTACTGCGATTACTTAGAATAGCAGCTCCTGACTCCAGGTGTAATGGCTCACACCTGCAACTGAACAATCAAGAAGCTGAAACAAGTAAATTGCTACAAGTTCAAAGCCAGTCTAGGCAATAGTGTGAACATACCTCAAAAAGAAAAATGGAGGAGAAAAGGAGGAAGAGGAGGAGGTGCTACGGCAGCAGCCACTATATAGTAATATACTACAACTTTTACTAATAACCTACATTGATCATCTATAAAGCACTTATGCCCCCATCTCCATCCCTCACTACAACCTATAAAGGCTAGACAGGTTAAGAGTAAAGTTATGTACAAACATGAAGACATATCACCAGAACCCACATATAAAGCCTAGGTATGGTATCATGTGATTGTAATCCCAGAACTGGGGAGGTAGAAAGAAATGGATCCCAAGACTTACTAGCCACCTGATTTACTCTATTTAAGGAAGTACAAGGTTAGTGAGAGACTCTATCTCAAAAAAAAAAAAAGTGGGCAGAACCTAAGAAAAGATAACCAAGGTTGACCTCTGGCCTCCACACCCACACATACACACATGAACATGCATACAAATGCAGATGCACACATACACACACACATAGTTTGCCCAGGGTCAAAGGCAAGAAATAGTTTGATGGTGCATACATGTGATCCAAGCCCTTAGAAGGCTAAAGCAGGTGAATGGCAAATCCAAGGCCAGCCAGGGTTACATTGAACAAATGAACAAAAAGCAAACAAGAAGCAAAAGTAAAGACTGGGAACACAACACAACCTGGTTGGTAGAGCGCTCCTTGCTATGTGCAATGCTCTGGGTTTCATCCCCAGTACAGCATAAACCAGGGAATGGTACACACTTGAAATCCTAGCATTCAGGAAGTGAAGGTACGAAGATTCTAAGTTTAAGGTCAACTTAACTACATAAGAGTTGAAGGTTAGTATGGGTTACATGAGACCCTGGCCAGCCTGGCCTATATTAAGATACCCTATCTCAAAACCACAAAGGCAACAAAAGAGAACTACTCTAAAGACTGTTCGTCCCATTGTGCGAGGGAGTCTAAAGAAATCGAGAAGTCTAGCCAGATGTGGCACATGCCTCATATCCCAGCACTTGTGGGTGGAGACAGAAGCATTCAGTGTTACAGGAAGTCCTGGGTTACATTTGGATCTTGTCTCAAAAGCAACAAAAAAAGAAAGAAATATTTCTTAAACTGAAGTGAAGTTGAGTCTCTCAAGTAGTCAAAAATACTTCAAGTAATCACCTTGCTTTTAAAGCAATGAATGAATCAGTTTTACTTTCTTTGACCAACTAATTCCAGATGAAAAGAAAATCCCAGTGCTATTTAAAATAATTTATGATCTAAGAATCTTGATTTTAAATTTATTTTTCATCAAGACACAAAACAGAAAAGAGCAAAGGAACAATGTTTATTAGGATGAAGGTTAGCAAAGGAAAAATTTGAATTTACTCATATTTTATGCAAGAAAAGTTAAGACATGGGGGCCTTAGCTCTTATGTTATTCTGTTATTACAGGAGACAGCACTCCAAGCCATCAACATAGAGAGTAAGCAAAGCCTTAATTCTTCCAAAACCAAAGTAAGAAGGAGAGTGTGATGGCGTCTTCAAAAAACTAAATACATATATTATTTGTAAACCATTGCTCACTCAAGCACACAGAAACAAAATGTTTTGCCCTGTGTTCCCACACACACACACCCCAGAAGAACTTAAAATTAACAGGTATTTTTAAACAAAACAATGTAACTCCATATCAGTGTGAACATATGCTAAGCTTTTTGCACAAAAACATGAAGAGAAGCAATTATCAATATTCAAAATCAATGTACTATAAAAACTTAAGCTGAACGGTGGTGGTGGTGCACACTTTTAATCCTAGCACTTGGGAGGCAGAGGCAGATGGATCTCTGCGTTCGAGGCCAGCCTGATCTACAGAGTAAGTAGGTCTACACAGAAAAACCCTGTCTGGGTGAGTGAGGGGACTTAACTGCTCTACTTAATAAAACCTTGCTATACCTGAGTCACTTCTTCATACATATACAGCTACTTCTTAACTATAAACTAGCAATATCAGAATGTCAAAAGATCACCACTTTAGAGCTGCCTAACACAGTTATTGGCATAAGGAAGCAAATCATAAGTTTATCTATGAATAAATGATTTGCAGAGTATGAACCTATAATCACAACATTGGTAAAATGAGGAGGATTGCCTGAGTTCAAGGCCAGGCTGAAGTCTGGGCTACAAAGTAAGTTCTAGGCCAACCTGGGCTACAGTTTGAGACTTTAAAAAAAAAAAAAAAAAAAAAGCTGGACATGGAGACATAGGCCTTCAATCCCAGCACTCAAAGGCAGAAGCAGGCAGACTTCTGTGAATTTTCAGTCACCTGATATAAACAAATTCCAGACCAGTCAAGGTTACATAGTGAGGACACTGTCTCAAAAAGGAATTTTAAAAAGAATTCTGGGTCAGGCATTGGCGGCACACACCTTTAATCCCAGTGCCCAGTAGGCAAAGGCCAACCTGGTCTACAAAGTGAGTTACAGAACAGCTGGGGCTACACAGAGAAACCTTGTTCCAAAACAACAACAGAAAAAAAACTCCAGGCTGGCTAGATGGCTCAGCAGTTAAGAGTACTGTGTTTGCAGAGGACCTGAGTTTGATTCCTGGCACCCACACAATTCACACCTGCCTGTACCTCCAGCTCCTGGAAGACTAACACCTCTTAGCCTGCACAGACACCCTCACATGCATGAGCATACACCCATATACACAAAATATAAGTAATAGCAGCAAATCTTTTTTTAAAAAGAGAAAACTTTTAGAGGCAGGCTGTCTATAGAGCAAGTTGCAGAACAGCCAGGGTTACACAGAGAAAATTTCTCTCAAAAAAAACGAAAACCAAAAACAAACAAAAAACACAAAGAGAGACAGAGAAAAAGAAAAAACTTTTTAACAGAAATTCTCCCCACCACCACCACCCTCCAGGACAGGGTTTCTCCCTGTTCCAGAACTCTGTAAATCAGGCTGGCCTTGAACTCAAGAGCTCTGCCTGCCTCTGCTTCCTAGGATTAAAGGCATGCACCACCACCCAGCAGAAAGCATTCTTAGATTTAAAGAAAAAAGGAATCCTTAGAATTAGAACTATCGGTACAGGTACACAACTACTCTTCTTACTTGACAATACTAGCCTGAAAATAGGCAATACATCCTACACACTCCAGGTAAGTTCAGATGGTACATTGATCCCAATAGGGCTTTGTTCATAGAGTTTTCCCTTTAATATACATAGACAACATATACCAACTTTCCAAAGTTCTGGTGCACAGCTGTAAGCCTCAGAGTGACAGAGACTGTGACATGGAAACACAACGAACAGATCAAAAGCCCCAAAGATAGCATTTATACTGAAGATCATGTCCTGTGTGAGTTAGCCAGGAGGCAGAAATGATGCAGACAAAGATTCAACAGATTGAATATAATCACTTCATGGCAATAAGAGATAATGACACTTCATGGATTTAGGGATCTAAAAAACTCTGAACAGCAGAAAGGTAATTGTTTTCCCCCACATCCTTCTCAATAGTTACATACATTTTTTTTTTAAAAATGAGAAATAAATTAGTGAAGTCTTTTAAACTAATTTGGATTTATAAGAATTGTACTGAAAGCTCCAAGAATTACAACATTATTATTGGGTCTAAGTTTGTCATTACAAACAATAGCTGCAGCGCTAAAAACAAAGTATGAGTCACAATTCAAAAAAGGGGAGAAAGGGGGGGAAATGAGCAGAGAAAAGCTTGGATTCAAATACCACTAAGAAATTCCTTACTTAAATGACTGCCAACGACAGCCACCACTTTGACTTTGGAGTAAGAAGGAAAGGTCCACATTGTTCTCTCCTCCTCTGGAACAAATTCATTAACCGCCCCCCCCATACCCACTCCAGCCTCAAAGTCCAAGCACCAATACAGCCAGCCACATCCGCCTGCAAGAGCAGTAATCTAACAGATCTGAGTCACCCACTCCCCCGCAGTAAGAGGACATTCTCTATCAGGAAGCCCACTCGGCAAAGTGCTCTTGTTCTACTCCCAGACCGCCACCACGACCCACAAAAAGCCAATTCTTTGACCCCAGCAGCTGCCGGCCATCTTCTTCCCTCCCCAGCTGACAATTCACATCGGCCTCTCCTAACCCAAGGCAGCCAACACTACTCCTGAGACAAGTTTCCTACCTGAGAACCACTCTTAACTCGGATACATCTGAGCCGCGAAGGATCCACCTAGCTCTTTGCTCAACTCTTTTGTGCCCAACTAAGCTTCTGCCTTTCCAGGAACTAGTAACCAATTACCTCGGAGAAGCTAAACTCTCCAAGCCTCTTCTCCCAAAGCCCGAGCCCAGTCTAATCGATTCCCAGACCTCCCGACGGGGTATGGAGGAGACGCGCCCCTGTGTGCTTTGGGGATCAAGCCACAGAGGCCCCTAAAATCCGAAATACAACCACTCTCGCCCAACCACGCCACGATTTTGTCAGCTTCTAGAGCGCCGGTATCAAGCATCAAGAGCGCACAGCCACCGTAGTTAAGCCTCGGCAATTCCGACTCCCTTCCTTGACTACGAAATCCCCAAATATCAAGTCACTGAAGCCCCGGGTGGCTGCCAAGACCCCCGCCAAGCCTCCCGCCACTGGAGTTCCCCAGGTCGGACTCAGCTCCCCTAAGGCCCAAGCCGCCAGCAATAGGTGGCTGCCCCAGGCTGCTGCACGCCGGGGACCCTGGCCGCGTCCCCATTGTTGCGGGTCCCAGCGGCCCCGGCAGGGAGTAAGGGGGATCTCAGGGACTCTCACCTCCCGTGCCACGGATCCGGGCCGCACCGGACCGGGCTGGGCCGAAGGACCTCGCGTTCCGCCTCGCCCGCCTGAACAGTGTCTGAGGCAGTGGGAGCCGGAGCAGCGGCTGAGGCGGGAAGCAGCCAGCCAGGCCCGGGCGCCACGGGCTGGCTCCGGCCGAGGGTCGATCTTCTACGGCGGCGGCGCTCTCAGCCTCCGCTCGCGGTCCGCACCAGAAAGCTTCCCCCTCCCGTCCCGCTCACCAGCCACCCGGGCGGGAACACCAGCCATCCGCAGTAAAGTTCCGCTGTGAGTCCTGTTGTTCTTTTATCTTCCACTAAACTGCGATTCTTGCCTGAATAAGGTGTGTTTGTTACAGAGGACCTGTTCAGGAATAAGTGAAATTAATAATAATAATAATTAATAATAATAATAATAAAGATCCAAGGCCAGAACCTGCCTGTAAGTAGTGAGTGCAACTGAATGGATTTGCATTCGTTAACCACAAACACACTCACAAATCAGTACAATTGAGCCTGAGCTACTCTCCTCAATAATTTTGGGCTAATGTCAAAACTTATCCGGAATGAGATGATGCGGATGTAAGACTACACTGGCGTTAGCTCGTTGCTGATGCTGGTTCATGGTAACACGGCTGATGCCTCCAAAGTATGTTACTCCCCTTGAATTGATATGAGCCATGTAATTCTTGCTCTTTTTCCCTTCATCCCTACCCGTCTCGGATTGTCGGTTGATTGAAGCTGTCTTCAGAATTACCTAGAAGAGTAGCAGAGTCGGAGGGAGGGTGCTGACTACGGATGGGGCTTTTTTTTTTTTTTTTTTTTTTTTAAATCACTGACACTCCAGTGCAGGTTAAGATTACAGGATTTTCTCCCTGGAGTTGGAGATTGTTAGCAATTACGTTCTACTTTCCTATGACCTTTATTGTCTTCTCTCTACTACATTCCTTTGGCTCTTTCTTCTCTCCCCTAACCCCAGAAGTGAATATGGGTGAAATATGAAAACATTATGTAAATGGGTCTATTTTTAAATTTTTATTTTGTTTTCCTCATGAAATTAATAGTATAAAAATTCTCTTCTCAACTCCAGGTGTGCTTTCCCAAACTATCTATTTGGGAATTTAGATATGCCACAGATACTTCCCAAAAAAAGATAACACACACACCTGACATATTCTCAGTTTTCCATTCTTACTCACCAGCTTAACTTTTTCAGATGCTTTGACACTCTTCTGAAGAGCTCTGAGGACCACAAATTGGCACCTGATGATCACTGTGTAATACACATAAATTTCCATTTAGATTACCTTTCTGGAAATTACAAATGTATTTAGATGTGTAAAGGCAGTCTAGCACCCTCTTGAAAAGCGGGACTGTGGGTTAGAAAACATCATACTCAATGTTTCGGGAAGATTTTTGCTGCTGTGAGAACAACTTAATCCTAGGCTGTAGATGGGCAAAGCATGTCCCAAAACCTGATTTACTTCTCTCAGCAGTCTGAGGTTAGTCTTTAATTTTTCCCATTGGCCTCCTAGTGGGGAATTCTTTGGGTGACAGATAAAGCAAATTTGGCTTCAAGAGGTGAAAGGACTCAAAAACTGAGCATAATACAAGCCTGAATGAGGAAGATTGTCACAAGTCTGAAGTCAACCTAGGCTATATAGTAAATACCTGGCCAGCCAGGGCTACATAGTAGGGCCATCTCTCTTTCTTTTTTATTTCTGTTGGGGGTGGGGCGGGTGGAGATTTGAAGTCAGGGTTTCTCTATGTAGCCCTAGCTGTCTGGAAACTCACTCTATAGACCAGGCTGGTCTTAAACTCAGAGATCCACCTGCCTCCCAAGTGCTGGGATTAAAGGTGTGTGTCACCAGTTCAGCTATTAGGACCATTTCTCAAAATTACAAAACAAGTTTAAACATGTAATAGTCCTAAAGATGACCAGAGGGACCAGTAATGGTGGCCAGAGACTTAAGAAAGGAGCTTTATTTGCATCTCCCCACAAATGAAGATGCAAAGCCCAGCTATCAAAACAGCTGCATTTACCGTTTTCTCCCATAACTGATTTTAGAGTAACAAGGGCCAACGCTGGCTCCCCTTCTGAAGTCCCTTCTATTCCTTCCTCCTAGGAAGCCATTGGTGTATAATATCACTGCTGCTTTGCCCTTCTGGAACTTCTGTGACTACTTTGAATGATGTTATATCTTCACTAAGGAGGGATGGAAATCTGGGATCAAGTTAGGTTTATTAACAGGTACCACCATTACTGTACACTTATGATACAGAATGAAGCTGTGACCCTGCCACTGATTCAGCTGCCACTCTTGTTTCCAAATTTGTGATGGGAAAGGTCTGGGGAAGGTCACCAAGCTGTGGTTTCAGCAAGCCCTCCACAGTCCAAGAGAGAGTGCCCCCCACTTCTTAACCAGTCACTGCCCTTCAGAGAAGACCAGGCCCATTGGACCAAGCTGCTACTTATTATTGGCTATCAGGGCCAGCATCAATAATTGCCACAACATTTCCCCCTTTTGTCTAATTAAGAAGGAAAGTTCTAATCTGAACATAATAAAAAACTATATGCAATAAGAACTATTATAAAGTATTGTCCAGAAGAAGGAAAAAGTAACAATCTTAACAAAAAAAATGAGACTACATACAAGAACAATCATCAAGTAAGAAATACATCTGAGATGTCCAGACCATAGGTAATAGGTGATTTTATAAAGATTTCTCCAATAGCTGTCCTTTCCTTAAGAATCTAGGCTTGCACTTGATATGTCTTTAGCTAAAATTTGTGAGGATCATAACTGTAACTATGTAGTCTTCAACCCCATCAGAGACCACAGACAGAAAGTAATATTACCTGAGTAAACAGGAAGTGCAAGCAAGTGAATTAAAAATGGGGGGAGGGGCAAGAAATGACAGAAACTGCTGGCTGCCTGGACAGTCACCCAAGATTTCTCTGTAACATTGGGGCCACAAAAGGCAGTTGGGGGAGGGTGTCAGTCAACAACCCATTAGGACTGTATGCACACGAGTACAGGTACATGCTGAGGCTAGAAGAGAGTGGAGGTACTATCTAGTTGTGAACCAGCCAACCTGGGTGCTGAAAACTGAATTCAAATCCTCTGCAAGAGCAGTATGTGTTCTTAACTCCTGAGCCATCTCTCCATCCCTGGAAATTGGATTTGTTATATCCCTTTTGGATCAGAAGAATAAACATTTTATTCAAAAGCTGTTGGGACTAATGTAGTGTTTCTCAACCTTTGAGTTACGACCCCTTTGAGGGGTTGAAAGACCCTTTTATGCCAGACGTTGGTGGTGTACACCTTTAGTCCCGGCATTTGGGAGGCAGAGTCAGGTGGATCTCTGTGAGTTTAAGGCCAGCCTGGTCAACAAAGCTAGTTCCAGGACTGGCTTCAAAGCAATACAGAGAAACTCTGTCTCGAAAAGCAAATAAAAAATAAATAAATAAATAGAAGACCCTTTCATGGGAGTCACCTAAGACCCTGTGGGGGTCGAATAACCCTTTCACAGGTGTCAGCTAAGACTATGGGAAAACACAGATATTTACATTACAATTCATAACCGTAGCAAAATCATAGTTATGAAGCAGCAGTGAAAGTAATTTTATGGTTGAGGGTTACCACACCATGAAAAACTGTATTAAAGGGTCACAGCAGTAAGAAGGTTGAGAACCACTGGTCTAGTGGCTTCAGATGAACAGCTGCATATTCTAGGCTATCTCAAAGAAGTTTTTCCTTTCTCTGAAGATGGAGGAAAAGGGACCAAAATAGATTCATGGAGTTGAGCCAATGTTGGAAAGCCCTTGCAGTGGCTGAATGGACATCTGAGCTACTTGGACTGTTGTCTTCATATTAATATCAACTCACAACCAACACACTGAAGAACCAAGGCCTCGCCTGCATGGAATCACCCTGAGGTAGAATTTACCCTACCATGCAATCCTTGCTGTTATCAGGTTAGGTGGAGGCAACCTGACCAGAAACACTTGGCTGCTATAAAGCAAGCACAACACTGTGATAAGGCAAGTGACCTGGTCTTATTTTGCATTGTCACTGCTCCCCCCCCCCACATTGCTGAGACATAAAAGACTTAACAGGATTACTGCAAGACCTCCCTCTGTCTTCTTGTGAAATACAAAGAAGAAGAAGGAGAAGGAGGAGGAGGAGAAGAAGAAGGAACCATGTACCATACCATTTGTATTTCTAATTAAAAAATAAACAATGGTATTCCCTAAGGTGAACATGGTTGTCCAGGGTAGAAACATTGATTGAGTTCCTAGAAGTAGACGTAAGAAAGAAAAAGAAGAGGCGAGCCAGATGGCTTCGTGGGTAAAGTGCTTGCTATCAAGCCTGATGATCTGAGTTCCATCCCCAGAACACACATAGAAGTAGAGAGTGAGAACTGACTCCAATAGTTGGTATCTGACCACCACGTGTACACGCCCCCCACATCATACATATTCACACAATAATAATACATAGTAAAAGAGAAATTATGTTATCAATAACAGAATAACTTTAAAATTATTTATTGGAGATGTACACAAGTAGGGATAAGAGGACAACTTGTGGGAGTTGCTTCTCTCTTTTTAACCATGTGGGAGCTGGAGTTCAAACTCAGGTTATTAGGTTTGGCAACAGGTACCTTTACCCACTAAGCCATCTTGCAGACCCTTGCAGTAACTTTTGGTAAAAGACCAAATTACAGCCGGGCATTGGTGGTGCACGCCTTTAATTCTAGCACTGGGGAGGCAGAGGCAGGTGGTTCTCTGTGAGTTTGAGGCCAGCCTGGTCTACAGATCAAGTTCCAGGACAGTCACAAGAAACCCTGTCTCAAAACAAACAAACAAACAAACAAACAAAACAAGACAAAAAGATCAAATTACAGTGATCTAATATTTCCTTAATGAAAATTCCCCAATTTTGAGTCGGTGTGCAAACTGTCTTGTAACTTTGATGAGGAATAGTGAAAGATTTTAAGTAGTTTCTAACAATGTTTTGTTGTTTAATTGTTGTAGAATGTTATTTTAAGATGTGTTGCATTCTTCTATGTTACATTTGTTCAATTAACTCTGTGAAGCTGTGTTACTATGCCTATCTAAAAACACCTGATTGGTCTAAT